AAAATAAAAAATCCATTAACTGAGAACTTGTCTAGAAATAATCCAAATTTAGTTTTGATTGTATTTGATTATCATTTATTTGTTTGTCTCTGTGTGTGGTCTACATGTTCAGATGCATGTGGACATGGGAGGTCAGCAGAAGATCCCCCTTTCACCACGTGAGTTCCGGAGACTCAACTCAGTGGACAGACACAGTAGCAAGCATCTTTACTCAATGGGCATGTGTTAGCATTTTGTCTAAGCTCCACCCCACAGTTACCTGGCAACAGTCAGGTGTGCCTGACTCACTATAAAAGGGGCTGCTCGCCCCTTTCTCTCTCTTGCTTACTGCCTTCTTGCTCCTGCTCTGTCCTCTTGGCCCTTCCTCCCTCTCTCCCCATTCCCCTCCCCCCTCTCCACATACTCTGCTCCTCTTCTTCCTCTCTCTCTCTCTCTCCCCACCCCCGGCCTTTCTCTGTCTCTACTACCCTCTCAACTCCTCTCCCCATGCCCTGGATAAACTCTATTCTATGATATACCATCGTGTGGCTGGTCCCTCAGGGAAAGGGATGCCTCAGTGTGGGCCCACAGAGGCACCCCCTTCCTCCATACCTGACTACACAGCCACCAAATATATCCTCTTCTCTTTATCTTTTTATAAACACATCACCATAAGCACTTACTTCTCTGGAATCTTCTAAAAAGTGTTCAAAGAACTGTTCTTGTGTTTACAGAACAGAAAGGTTTGAGCCGTGCATATTAGATTGTTGACCTTTATGGCATCTTTACCCTTTGAGTTCCTTTGTCCGGGCACTGGTAGTGAGGAACGCTGGAATTTCAGTCTGTCCCTCATTTGTTGCTGTATGTATGCCACACTGAGAATTAGGACTCTGAAACTGACATTTTAATGGTTTCTCACAGCTCTGAGTTTTCAGGCTTGAAGGCCAATTCCATGGGTAGGCTGAGTTCAGGAGTGAGGAGCTTGTCTCTGATCCCCATGCTCTTATGTTCTACTAAACAAAGTCCAACATGGCAGGCTCTAATAGGGATGCTCAAAGAAAGTCACATGGGCAGACCTAGCTTCCTGTGGGAGAAGATTAAGGAGGACACAGGAAACAGGAAGTGTCCTTTAGTGGGTTGCAAGACACCGGGAAGAATGGCATAGTGTGTCCCTATGGTTCTTCTATTTCTAGCTATTTTAACCAAACTAATCTTGTTTAAGGGTTGCTTTCTAGGGCGGGAAATTCAGCTCAGCACTACAAAGGAAGGGGGATGTTATTTTTTTTTGTTTGCTGCCATTTTTCTTCGAAGTTCTCATACCAACCCCCCCCCCCAGATGACTTTATGAGATATCTGCTTTTGCCTGTTATAATTTTCACGAGGTATATTTCCTAAAATCTTCTGGTCAGATTTTTACCTTAAAAAATAGAGATGGAGCCTGCAAGATGGCTCAGAGGGGGAAAAAGGTGCTTGCTGCAAAAGCCCAGGGACCCGAGCTAGTTCCTCTGAGCCCACATAAAAGTGGGGACAGAGGCAGCTCCACAAAGTTATCCTCTGACTGCCACAGTCGCACATGCTTACACACGAACACAGTAATATTAAACTAATTTTAGAGAAGGGGACCTAGGGACTGGGGACATAGCTCAGTTGGTAGAGCCCTTGCCTACTATGCATGAGACCCCAGATTTTATTCCAGCACCACAGACTCTGAGCTCTCCTGAAACTCATAGGAGATTACATGTCCTGGGAATACAGGTGTGTGCCACTACACATGGCTTATCGTGTATTTTCTTTTGCGAGTTTTCTTCAGTGTCTCAGACATTAAGGGCATTTAACCATACCACACAGAAAAGATGGCAGGAGTAGACTGGGGAGATGGCTCCGTGGGTAAAAATGCTCATCGGAAAAGCATGAATACTCAAGTTTGATCTCCAGCACCGTAGAAAGTCAGGCACAGTGGCGTCTGCCCGATGTAAGCAGCTCTCACCTGGGAAATGATTGTATATCAAAGAGGTATCAGAGGCCACACTTTCTGCTCTTCATGTTTCTGCCTCCAGCCTGGGAATCTGAGATCCTGGCTATGAAACGTCCCCATCTTCAGGAAGCTATAAGGATAGACTCCTGTTTCTGCTGTATGGGCTCTGATTTTTCTTCAGAGACCCCGCCATGCTGTCTGTCTTGGTGATAGGGCCTGGACTCTTCTTATAGCTCCTGCCATACTGTTGTCTCTCTAACTGTTCACAGTGTTAATAATTCTTCTAATGATTTTAATATACTCCAGTAATCCAACTCAGTACCCTCTTGAACCCATCCTTCACCCCAAGTCTGGCAGTCTCCTCCCCATGGTCACAAAATGGATGCTGAAACTACAAACATCTCATCCAGAGGCGGGGAAGGAGAAAACGCTGCCTCAGGATTCTCGCTATCAAAAGGGAAATTTTCCTCCCCAGAAGTTTTCCTGATATTTCACTGGCCAGACTTAATCATGTGCCCACCCCTAAGCCAATCCTCAGCAGTGATCCAGGGACTGTCTTGTTTCATCTTGTGGACTCAGGCTTGCTGCCAATCTTGTGGGAAAGGAAGGAACCTGTCCATGCTACTGGCAACAGCAACAGGCACTACAGATGTAAAAAAATCGGAGTTGGGTCAACACCAGGTTCACGCCTGTCACCATCCATCAACACTGGCTCTTGCTTCTTCCACTTTGTTCAGTCTGCTTTGTTGACTTGGCTGGGGTATTTTCGGCAGAATATTTTTTTAGTTGGGGCCGTACACAGGTGCTTGACATTTTTATAGTTTCTTATCTGAACTATCTTGATAAGAAACCAAATTTTGTATCCCAGCCATTTCCTCTCAAAATTCCATGGCAATGGCTTTGTGGTCTTTGGCATTATCTGACAAACATCAATATGATAAGTTTCATTTGGAAGCACCAAGACTCTTCTTCCTCATAGTCTCCCACAGAGCAGAAGGGCTTGCCCAATGTCAGGTGCCTGGGACACAACAGGCTCTGAATGAAAGCTGTATTACAAAGACGAGAGGACACAGAGGAGGGCCGCTGCCTGCACAGACTCCTACCACAGGGACGCTGAACGCCCCTGGGTTCGAAGCAGTATGCCTCTCTCATAAAGTAGATGGCTGCCAAGCCTCCTCCCCAGCTGACCTTATCCCACTGGTGTCTGATGTATTGGTGGGGTCTCTCCTCTCTCAGCCTCGGTCAGTGCCACAGGTTCCATTCTGTCCTTAATTCCCGTGTACTCCTCACAAAGTTTGAAAGTTGACCACAAGGACACATTTGCCCATCAGAGTGTAGATATGTCCTTACATTTGCAGTTTCTTTGAAGAAAGTCTCCATCTCCCATGGAGATGTGGGATGCAACTCTTCCCTCCTTCCTGCTACCTCTGGTTTGGGACAGAAGACCAGGGTCTCCTCTGTCACCCTCTGCTGTCCTCCTGAGCATCCTGTTAAAAATATTTTGACTGTTGTTGTCTTTCTCAGTCTTATTTGTCCTGTTTTTTGTTTCCCCTTTCCTCTGACCTTGGGGAGAATTTATTGAGTTCATCAGGTAGACAGATCCATCACTGAAAAGCAAATTAGCAAGTCCTGTTTGGCTTGATTTTTCTTTCCCTTATTCTTTAAAGGTGTGTGTGTGTGTGTGTGTGTGTCTATGCACATAAGTGTGTGAGGCAGCCACAGGACAACCTTGGTCCTAAGGTGCTGTTCATCTTGTTAACTGAAACAGCAGGGTCTCTCATTGGCTTGGAACTTGACAAGTAGTGTCCACTGGTTGTCTGGAGAGTCCCCGGAACCCAGACCTCTCTATCTCCACTGTGCTGGAGTTACAGATGCGTGCCACCACACCTGGATTTATACACACACACACATACACACACACACTTTACATACATATATTACATATGTAAATTGTGTGTATGAAAAATGTGTGTGTGCGCATGCACGCATGCATACAAGCACATTGTGGGTTCTAGAGATGAATTCTAGGTCTTCAAACTTCCACAGCAAGTGCTCTGATGACGGAGCCCCCTCCCTGCTTTCTTTCTCCTTCCACTATCCTACCTTCTTACTTCTGAGCATCACTATTTCTGTCAGTATCCTGAGCTGAACCTGCTCAAGGGTCTCTGGGTACTGGATTTGGAGCTTCCCATAGGAACTGCTAAGAATTCCAGAGGCCACCTTCTCACTCTCTAGAAAGGTGTAACCATATATTCAAGACTACTAGGGCACAGCAGCAAAGAGAATGGACCCGTAACTGGATGCCCAGGTAAATGACTCTCCTGCCTCTGATCATATGGTGGGGTGGGGAGGGGACTGCCACATGATATACTGAGCCCAGAGTAGGTTTGTCTGCATTGCATTCCAAGCTGTGTTAGATGGCAATGCCCCTGCTGTGACAGCTTGTGGTGTTTCAAAGTCCACAAGCATCTAAGCCAGTGCCTTGGCCAGCATGTACCACCTATGGGATTCATTGACACCAAGCTTCCACCCCAGGCTTTGGGGACATTGCAGTGTAGGATGGAAGGATTTGAGGTAATTCACATGCCCAGTGTCCACATCTGAGGTCAGTGGGAACACCAGGCAGGAGATGGGAAGCAGCAGCCACATCATTGCTGAACAGCCTCAAGTGACTAAAGGCAGAGCTCCACACAGCAAGGAAGACTTAAAGGAGCCCTTCTTTGTCCTCCCCTAGAGCTGGGGACACACTGACAGCTGAGGCCTCCATGGGGCTGAAACTCAGACAATCCACCCCCTTTGCATCCACTTCTCTCCCTAAATCTCTTGTCATGATAGAATCTCCTCATTCTGCCAAAACTCAGTTACCAGAGTCCTCCAAAAGGATCCTCCATGACCAATGGCCTCTGACCCTTACCATCTGGAGGATGCCTCTCTAGTTCCCTCTTCCCTTGTTATGTATTGCTTCCTAAGTGAAGGTCCTGTGCTGAAGCCAGCAGGCCACTGGCTCTGAGACTGGCTTATGGGAGCCATCTTCCCTCTCACACCCATGGCTGTATTTCCTCCTCAAGCCCTTCTAGAAACATCTGGGACCATTTACTCAAGGTCAGCTTGGCGAAAGCACAATGACCTGTGACTACCCATAATCAGAAATGAGAGGAGGCTGGAAAAGTGGGCAAAGAACCCCTAAACACATCCTCAGAACTTGGGTGAAAGGCACCTGGGCTGAGGCTTGGTGGCCTCTGCCCCAGCTCTGCCACTGTTCTCTTGTTTGCTCAGGGACAGGCATGATTGGCTCTACAGAGTGAATCCCCCTTGCTCAATCCAGGATATATTCTTGTAAAGAGGTCTCTGCATGAACACAGGGATAGAGTCCCAAGGATGCAGGAGACAGGCGTAGCAGGGTCTGCAGGGGAAGGAGGGCACCGAGTCTCCTTGCAGTCTCAAGGACACCTCTGGGATTTACTCAGCTCAGACAGCAATGAATTCTGGATAGCTGAAACATATGAGCATGTATGTGTGCATATGCAGATGTGCATGTGTATAGGTGTATAGGTGTGGGCATGCATGTATGTGCACCCATGAGCAAGGAAATTGACATGGAGTGATTAAGCAAGGGAAGAGTAGGGAACACGGAGTGGGGAGGCAAGCCTACCAGGGGAACTTTGATAGCCAGTGTTGTTCAGATGAGACACTGTTAAGCAGATGAACTCTGGCACCTAATTCTCCTATAAGCCCAATGAGTTAAGTCTTATCTTTAATAAAATGTGGGAAACTGAGGCAGTGGAGCAGAGGAACTTGGGAACAAACTTCACTCTCAACATCACTCTTGCTATTTGCTTCCCAAACCTGATCATCTATTCACTAGAATAAACTGGAAGGAATCTGGAGAGACGGCTCAGCGGTTACAGTACTTGGCATGCAAGCATGAGAATTGGAGTCCAGAACCCCAGAATCCACATTAATACTGGGTGGAGTAATAGCCTTCCTGAAATTCCAGCCTTGGGAAGAAGAGGCAGGGGATCACAGAGGGAGATGGCTAGCCAACTAGCCCAATCAGTGAGTTCTGGGTTTGATTGAGAGACCTTGTCTTAATGAATGAATGAGGTAGAAGGAAAGATGATGATGATTCCGCTTCTGGCCTCCACATGTATGCACAAATGTGCATAGATACCCACACACATACAAACATGCATATACACATAAGCACACCACACATATGCACATAAAAGTAAAAAAAAAAATCTGGAATGCTCTGAAACCGTATTACACCAGCTCAAGAAAATCTTAGGGAATAACAAATGATTTTCAAGTATTAGGGTGTACTCTAAGCCAGGTGTAGAGACACACTTCTGTTGTCCCAGCAGTGAAGAGGCCGGGGCTAGAGAATAAAAAGTTCCCAGCTATAAAACAAGATCCAGCCTCAAAAAAGAAAGACAGACAGAAAGAGAAGGAGGTATGGGGGTGGGGGGGCAGTGAAGACAGAAAGACGGAATGTACTTGGAGTTGTGTACTTTTTAGCTTGCAAGCTGTCAAAATATCTTTTTTTTTCTGTTAGAGATTTTAAAATTAGATTTATTCACCGAATATGTGGGTGTTTACCTGCGTCTGTGTATGTGTATCACGTGCATGCTTAGTGCCCAGGGAGGTTCCTGGGTTTCCCAGAACTGGAGTTATGGATAGTTTTGAACCACCATGTGAATGCTGGAATTCCCAGTGTACATATTTTGTCCTCTGAAAAAGTAGTAAGCGCTCTTAACCTCTGAGCCATTTCTACAGCCCCACAAGTTATCTTTTGATTAAAAATATTTTCCAGCCCTTCAGAGGACCAGCCCACTTGCTTGGTTCTGCCAGCCCCAACAGTGTGTGGGCAGCGGGCAGAGGACCAGGACCGTCTGATTCCCAGACAGCTGGCAGCCAACCACAGCCTTGCTGCTCCACACGTGTTCCAGTCCCCAACCCTAGTTCCTTGCCTCTTGTTGCCAAGGGAACAAGCAAGCTCCAGGACAGGACCAGGTCAAAGGGAAGAAGTGAGCCCACGTGCTGAAGGCCAAAGGAAAGTTCTATGCAATGGCTGGATGGAATGGCTGTTAGGGGACCCTCACTAGCTAGTCACAAGCATCAAGAGAAGAAGGAAGTACGATAGTTTCTAGTCAGTGTAGGGAAGGGATGCCTTTCTATGTAAACTCACACCACTTTCAAAGTATCCTCTTTATAATGGACCATCCCATCTGTTATGGTGCAGATCTTAAATGTTCCTCTTATGGTAGGACTGGAGAGATGGCTCGGTGAATAAGAGCCCTTGTTATTTTGCAGAGGCTCCTAGCACATGGTGGTATGTAACCAATCTGTAACTCCAGTTCCAGGGGATCAGATGCCAGAAGAGCACAGTTCTGGAGGATCAGACTCCAGACACACATGTACTACATACAGTCAAAACACTTGTACAAGCAGTGTAAACACTTTGTTTTTCAGAAAAGGCGCTTAGAACTTGGTGTGGCTTTGCAGGCCTTTAATCTTGGTACTCTGGAGGTAGAGTCAAGTAGATTTCTGTGAGTTCAAGGCCAGACTAGACTACATAATGAGACCCTGTCTCCAAAAAATTAATCAATCAATTAATTAAAACAAAAAATGCTTGGATTTAACCCGCTTTGTTGTTGTTTGGCTTGGTTTGGTTTTTGGTTTAGGGTTATCCCCCCTCTCCCCATAAAAGTTCATTTGCTGCTAGGTTGGGACCCCAGTGGGTGGCGCTAGAGAGAGACGGTGGAGACTTCAGTAGGTGGGGCCCTATTGGAGGAAGTTAGAACACTGGGATGTACCCTTGGAGAGGATATTGGGACCCCCCTTTCCTGCTTTTGAGCTGAGACAAATGCTTCTCACTATTACGTCCTTCCTCTTCATAGACCCAAAGCTACAGGGCTGGCCAAGTGACCATGAACTAAACAGAAAACCAAATCTCCTTTTAAGTTGCTTACCTCACCTGCATTTTGTCTCAATAACAGAAAGATGATTAACACAGTACCCACACGTTGAGACCAATGGCTTGGGCCTTCTTTTGAAATTGAGGTCCTCTGTTCTTAGAATAAACTGGAATTTTCAACTCTGGGACTTGGAGCATCTAGCTAAGGAGACAGCAAGAGGATCCCAAGGCCAACACACCCTACCACCAACGCTCCACCTGCTAGGAGAACGGTTCGTCTCTGGAGCAGCTAGGGGGCAGGAAGCAGGAGAGGGGTCAGTCTGACTACTTTATAGCTAGTCGTGGTCTCTCTGGGGTAACTGTCTCCTATGGATGTGCCTCACACACACCCACAAACCGTCCTTTCTCTACCCAAAAGAGTCTTCCCTTCTTGTGTTCCCATCTCATAGTTCAGATTCAGGGGCCATCTCAAAGACACAACCCCTGAACGGGCCAGCTAGCTGACCCCCACCACCAGCTCCTCCTTTGTTCTGCACTTAATTGTAACCAAAGCCAGCTCTTGTTCCGGCTCCTGCATCCCCCGAAGCAGTGGGACAGCGGGGTTGATGCGTGAATAAGTTCATGGTAGGCAGAGATTCCCTGATCTTCACAATGTATCTGGGGACGCGGAGTGCCTTTGCCCCTAGTTGGTGGCAGGCGTCCCAGGGCCGGCAAGGATGGGGACACAGGTGGAAATTCGATTTTAATGAGTGTTTGGCTGACTACGGAGAGAGCGCTTCTCTTTGGTCAGGTCTTGCCAGGTGGCTGGCTATGCTCCTGGGTCTCCAGGCTCCTGCTCAAGACTGTCTTGGAGAAGCCCCTGGCACAGGTGACTGGATCCTGGACGACTCTGCTCCGCCGCCTACAGCCTGAACGCGGCTACTGCGCAGGGTACTGGGGCGGCGACCCTGGGCGCGAGCACTGCAGGGAGGTGTCTGAAGCCGGGCGCTTCCTGCCTGGCCCTTGGCCCAGGGTGGTGACTGGCTGTCGCGATCGGGGCGCAGGTCCCCGCCCCCGGCTCCCAGTCCCCACCCCTGCGCCTTCGGGGGCGCCCCATCGCGGGAGTGTGGTCCGCTTCGCCCCTGTCGCCTAAGGCAGAGAGGTGGCGGTAACCTCCACCTCTTTCCCGTTTCCGCCGCGGGCAGCGCGCCGGCCAGTGCCACCGGGAGGCGCGGTCGTCCCTCCGCCCGCGCGCCGGGGGGCGGCCCTATCGCCTGCGCCTTTTTCCCCCGCGCACACCGCGGCGGCGCGCGGCCACTCGCCAACCGCAGAGAGCGCGGTGGCTGCAGCGCCCTGCGCTCGGAAGATGGTCCCCGCGACCGGACAGCTCGCTCTGCTAGCGCTGGGTACGTAAGCAACACCGGTTGTCCCCGGGCCCGCTCCAGCCTGGATCTCTGCGGTGCTCTTGAGTCCGCTTGGGAGAGCACAAGAGAGGCGGGTGCTTGGAGTGGGTGGGAGCGTGCGAGCCACTGGTAGTCACCGAGAACTGTGAAGTGGGGGACAGTTTTAGCGAGGTGGCCGCCCGGCGGTGAGATCCGGCTTGAACTTTACTCTGCGCGGCGTCGGCTCGCCGGTGCCCACGCCCTCCTGCCTACCTGTCTGTCGCTGAGCCGGGCTTCTCCGAAGCCTCCTGAGCGCCGGTTGTCCCAGTGCAACCCCTGGGTGTCCCTGGCCTGAGACCCTTTCGTGTCCCTGGGGGCAGGAGGCCACGTTGCGCACCCGCACCCTTACTTAGTCTTCGACTTGAAGCTCTCCTAGGTGTTGGGTGGGTTTGTGATTTGTGTGTGTGTGTGTGTGTGTGTGTGTGTGTGTACACGCGCGCGCGCGGATTAATTGTTCTGTTAATGAGCTTCCTTGGGAGCCTTGGTGTTCCTGTCAGAGGAGGCGGGAGTGACACCTGAGTGTAACCAGTTTCTTCTGAGTTGGTTCTTGGACATAAACGCGGGTGGGGGAGGGGACAATCTTCCCCCCTCCAACCCCCTTGTCTGGGTGCTGGGGGAGAATTGCCGCTGCGAAGCTCGCAGGTGTGTATTCTCTATCAGCTACCTGGTGCAGTCTGTTTGACAGAGTGGACGAAGTACCCAGGCGTCCCAGTCACTGCTGCCGCCTTGTGAATCTTTCTGTCTGCTATTTTTAGCATTTAAAACTCTGTAAGGAGGCTGAGGCTGTAGGTCAGTGGCCAGAGTTCTTCAGGTACCAAACCCTGGGAAGAATCCCCAGCACTATGTAAAGCCGGGCTCGTGACTCCAGCGCTCAGACGGTAGAGACAGTAGAATCATACTGCCACCCTCAGCTATATAGCGAGTTTGAAACCAGCCTGGGCTGTACGAGAACCTGGTTCTAATTAACTATTAATAATTAAAGCCTTATAAAGTAAGATGCTTGCTATAGGATCAATAGACCTCAGAGAGTGTTTGGAACTCCCCTCCCCAAAATATGCCCAGAGCAGCAGCCTGCCATAGCCGAGGTGAGAAAGGGTTACAGGTCTCTGGCAATCCTGCATTAGAAAGTTCCCTCTACAGCAGGAGGGGACACATTGTGATGCGCTCAGCTTTGCCCTCACCAGAAGTGAGTTATGGGCAGATTTCCTCACTTTTTGTAAGAGCCACCTTTCGGGTGTATTCTGATGTCAGTTTTCACTTCGTATATGAAGGTTTCATGATTTAAAGCAGTAGAATGTGCAAACAGTGGGGGTGAGGGGGAAACCTGCAGGTTGTTTCCCCACCCAAATGTTTATCCCTCCCCCCTCCCCCCCACCCCGACCCCAGCAAGCATCCGCAGGGTCCTAGCTAGTAGCGGCAGGGGGGGGCGGGGGGCAGGGTGGTTTATCCATTGAAGATGAGAACAGTGCTCCCTCCTACAGCTGTTGACAGCTGTGCTCCCCCAGCCCCTTTAACTCAGCATGGAGCAGACCCCATACTGTCTCCTTGCCTGAGTGCTCCAACCGGCTTGTTCTCTGCTCCCTTCCTTGAGAGAAAGAAAGAAAAAAAAAAGATAACCGTAAGATTGACCAATCTCTAAAAGCTGGCTTGTACAGTTCCAGAAAGAGTAGTTTAAAATGGGGGAGGGGGTTAATTCATAGCAGTGAGGATTCCGATTTATTCAATACTCTTTAAAAGACAAATCACAGCCGTTAGGTTTGTGCCTTTACTCAAACAGCTGTCTCCCACGTGTCTTTAATTTGTGGTATTTCCTCTGAATCGCTTCGCCTCTCTGACTTTTTCTTAGACAGCTCCGGGCAAATCAGCCAGTGTTACATCGATAAATGCTGTCTAAAAAAAAAAAACAAAAAAACAAAACAAAACAAAACAAAAAAAAAAAAACCTAGGATTGTCTGAGAGAGACCCGGCTGTTAATGCTGTCTGTGGAAGCTTAGGATTGGATCCCGACATTTATTCCTGTTCTGGGGGACAGAATGTGGGGGATGTGGCCCAAAGGCCAACTTTAGAGACATGATCTAGGTTCCTGTGATGGCTGCCACCCCAGGTGGAGTTCTCCTGTGCATGGTACCTCCTCTGTGCCAAGGGAACAAGAGGTTACATTATTGACATTAAATCACCTTTCTGTGCCTTGTTTTGTCTGTGAAATGGGTATGTTAAGAGAGCTATTGGATAGACTTGATACCTGCAGATTAATGTCTGGTATGCAGTCAGACCTTAATTAACCTTAATGCCACCCCTCCCTTTGTTGTTGGCAGTCGGAGCCCCAAAGAACTCTAGATGTCACAGCAGGTTATGTGAGTTCTATGACCCACAGATCACCAGCTGAGCCTCAAGCTCCTCACCCTGTCTCGGCCAGAAACCCTACCTGACCCTATTCAGTGTCACCTGGCAGACAACAAATTCAAACAAACCCAGGCATCCTTTGGTACATTACAAATCATTTTATGTCAGGCACTTATGCCTACTCTGTAGTACTGAGTGGCCAGTTGTTTTCTCCTCTGTAAAGTGGGAATAATAAAGCCAGCCCCATCTCGAAGGCTGTTAGGACATCAGATGAGATGGTCAACAGATTCACAAACCATAAAAATAATAAGGCTGTGGGTGGAGCTCCAAGGTAAAGCCATTTGCCTGGCTTGCACAAAGCCCTACCGCTGCAAAGGAAATAAAGGCTATACTGAAAATAAAATTGATTTTGGTGACAGAGATGGTCTCTGTAATACAGAGATAAGGCCTGTTTTGCTAGCACTTTCCCGTAGATTAAGACTGCCTCTAGACCTCAGGGAAGACTGCCGTAGACCGAAGGGTGATCTTTGTTTTAGATTCATGTTGAGGTGTTTTAGGTGACATTATGTGGAAAGGTCATCTTTCAGACTTCCACTGTCCGCCTGAGGAGGACTCATGCCTTCCATAACGGGAAGTCAGGGCGTGCTCACCAGCAGTGAGGGCTGGAGAGGTGGAGATCGATGTTGGCAAGCCTGCTGACCCTATGTGCTCTTCCAACATTTGGTCTCCTCAGGACAAGGTAATCTTTCTCTAAGTAATGTCTCTTGCAAGGGAGACTTTTCTTATAGGAGTAAATGTTGCTTTGCACTATTGTTACTATGGTAACACATGACAAACAGATGACTTTTCCATTGGCCCGATCTCCAAGGACCTTTGCAATATGTGTTTGGAACAAGGCCCTAGCCACCACACTGCCCTCTTAAGCAGGCAGGCATCAGGTCATCCCACACTAAAAACCTTGCGAATATCTTCTACATCAATATGCTTATGTCAGAACCATCTGGAAACCTGGTGAGTGCAGGTAGAGGGGCTTGCACACTCAGCGAGTTCCTAGGTGTGACCTGTGTGGCTGTAGGGGCTCTTCAAGAACTCCTGCTCCCTCACGAGCTTTGGGGAGCTTCTGCCTTGACCAACTGCCCTGTGCCTCAAAGCCTGCCTCATGCTTGTGAGTGTGGCTGCCGACTCAGGCGCTCTTATTAAAACTGCCCTGGCCTGTGCTGCCAGCCAGGGCAGAGCTGGAACCTTACTGAGAGTTCACAGTTCTGCTTTGCCTACAGCCTGTGCTATTAAACATCAGCTTACCACACCAACCATTTCACACTTTCCATTTTTACTTATTTTTATGTGTATGGGTTTTTTGCTTGCGTGTATACCTGAGCACCATATGCATGCAGGGCCCAAGGAGGCCACAAGGGTGTCATCTTCCCTGGAACTGGAGTTACAGAGAATTGTGAGCCACTATATGGGTGCTGAGAATTGAACCCAGATCCTCTGCAAGAGCAGCCAGTTCATGTCACCTTCTTTAATTGCAAAAATGACTTACTATATATAGCTTTTTCAAATATTTCTGATCATATTGTTATAAGATATAAACTTTATTCTTTTGTAAATAATAGGGCTTTCTAGATAAGACTTTTCCACTGGATTTTGGTTTGGGTTTTGTTGTTGTTGTTGTTGTTGTTAAAAATTTAAAAAGTGTGTGTGTGTGTGTGTGTGTATTTGTGCAAATGAGTGCAGTACCCACAGAAGTCAGAAGATGATGTTAAGCCCTGGAGCCGGAGTCACAGGTGTTTTGAGCCACCCATTGTATGCACTAGAAACTGAACTCAAGTCCTCTGTAAGCGCAGTGAGCGCTCTCACCACTGAGCCATCTCTCTAAGCCTTGAGTATCCTTGTATTGTCTCCTATGGCAAATGGCAAATACAAAACTCTTTCCTAAAGCCAGAAATCTAGCTGGTAGAGTTATCTCTAAGCAGCAACTCAAATGCTGCTCCCTTGACTCACACACTCACGTCTAGGTACCCCACCGCTCTCTTTAGGGTAGAACTCACTATATAGACTTGGGTGGCCTTGAACTCACAGACATGCCTGGTTAAAGGCAGGTGCCACCACCCTGGCTAATCCTTTCAAAGCATTATGAGTGTGTTGTATTAAATATGAATTAAGAAATAAAAACTGAAGCTGGAGACATAGCTTAAGAGCACTGGCTGCTCTCCCATAGGACACAGGTTCAATTCCCAGCATTCACATGGCAGCTCACAATAGTCTGTAACTTTAGTTCCAGGGGATCTGACACTCTTGCAGACATACATGCAGGGAGACTGATAAAAATAAAGTTATTTTTAAAAAAAAGGAGAGAAAGAAAGAAAGAAAGAAAGAAAGAAAGAAAGAAGGAAAAATTGTTACCTGGGACTGGGAAAGGTCAGAAGCTTACTGAAACCTAACTGTGCTCTACTTAATACTGGTTTGCTTGTTTTAAGCCTGAAAAAACAATTTTTTATTCATGGAGTCATGTCCTAGTCTAGTGAATTCTGAACTCTACTGCATTTAGTATTTTTGGAGGGGTGGATTAAGACAGGCTCTTTCTGCAGAGCCCAGGAACTCACCATCTCCTGCCTCTG